GATCATTGGCAAGGCTGACGATTTTTCATGTTGGTTTAGTTTTAGGACAAATTTCTTCCTCATTCCCTACTAAGTTATTTTTGAAAATATATTTTCCTCAGCAATGTTTAGCATAGAGCCCAAGGGCTAAAGAAAGGTAGGTGGCTGAGCTGCGCCTTCCGCACAGGTCCAGAGGCTGTCAGGGCTGAGGCGCTCCTGCCGTCCGTCAAACAGGTGTGAAGTAGTAACTCTGTTTTCTGTCTGTGCACCATCTGAAAATGCCGAGGCTGCCCCTGTGCCTCCCCTGTGCTTCTGGCTGGAGTGTGTTCTCAGAGCCCTGCGGAGCCCTCTAGGCTGTCTCAGAAAGTGCAGAGGCTGGAAAGATGGATGTGCAGCCTGAGTTTTACACAGCCCTCAGGGGCCCTGTTTCTGGTTAGAGTCAACCACTGTCATCTGGTGCTCTGATACACTAAGTTCCACTGTGCTTCCAGAAGGTTCCTAGAAGCAACTTAGAAAAAGGCAGCAGTAAACCTAAGAAGGACAGTGGGTGGAGCAGGAGGCCCTGGCCACTACTTAAGCCTCTCTGACATCCCTCCACCCCACCCCACCCCAGCCTGGGGAGCCACATTCTTCCCTTTTTTTCTCTGTTCTCTCCAAGAAATGTAATCCTTCAGGCTTTGAAACAATAGTCACCACAGCCTGCAGACCCAGCCCCATTAGCCAATCTCTCCCACCCTTGGACTAAAATCACAAGTTCTGTGAGAGACCCACAGACAGGCAGACACAGACTGATGCAAGACGCTGGAAGATCTAGCAAGGCCAGAGCACTCCATTTCTAGTTTTTCAGCCAAACCTCATAGTTGGAATGTTAAAAGCATGGGATATGGTTTTGTAATGTTTGAAAAATGCTTCCTCACCAGGAAGGGCTGGAGAGGATCTGCATAGGAAATTCTTTCCTTTATACATAATAAATTGTCACTGAATTTAAATAACTTGCAGTCACAAGGGATGCCAATAAAACCATTACACTCTATAGCAACTGTAAGTAAACCCAGCTTCTGCCTGCCTCTGAGCTGGGCGAACCTGTAAGAACAGACTCCATCCCACAGCAGTCCCTCTGGCCTTCCTCGTGGTGGGGAAGCAAGCCACAACGTGAGATCACTGGCGTTTCTAGCATGGTGGGAACCTCCCAGCTGGTTGGTTCCTGTTCATGTGGGTAGCTGGGCTGACAAGGCAGGGCTTCCCATCCCGAGGTATGCCTGGATGGGGAGGACTATGAGTGGCGATGCAGCAGGAAAGCCCTGAAGCTGGGCAGGTTCCCTCGAATGACAGGCCAGTCTTGAGATTCTGGCGGGGTGTCAGGAGGGCAGCCAAGCCTGGTGCCCAGGAGCTGAGTTCCTGCACAGCAACCAGGGACTTGACCTGACTGGGGCTACAGGGCAAGGGAATAAGAAACGACAGCCAGACTTGGAGAAACAGGAAAGCTGGCATGGGATGTCTAAGCTCTCAGACGGAGGAACTGCAGTGTCTACGGTATACAGTTGAACAGAGAGGCGGGGTCACTGCATACAGCTGAGCAAGGAGGTGGGCTGTTACGTACAGACAAACAAGGAGGCAGGTTCACCTAATGTCAGTAGGAGCAGACTCTGTACAGGAGCAGTCTTCAGGCTGTCATCGTGGGAGAAACTCTGATGGACAGTCTGTGCAAGCTATCAGCATGCACGCATGGACCAAAAGGGCAGCATTGCCAGCTCCACGAGCCTAGCCTGGGCTTGAAGTAACCCAGACAGAATCAGAAAGAGGTATTGGGCCTGCTGAAAGGAGCTCAACACGTTGCTTTATGTAATTATGGCTAAAAGAACAAAATATGAAGTATTAGAGGTATTTGATGCCAAATGTGCATGAATCTCTAACTGTCATCTGTGTTTTCTACTAGAGACTCATAAGATGCTTCTGAGAAGTATACCAGCTGATGTTGAAATGACCTTGGAACACAGGGACACCAGTGGTCTCCCTCAGTCCCTACAACAGCCCTAGGTAGCCTCATTTCCCAGATGAGGAAACAGATGCTCAGAGTAGGTAGAAGATTTATAAAGGCTGCACAGATGCTCTGGAGAGAGAGAGAGCGCACATGTGTGCACATACCCATTGAGTACCTTGCCTCTCCACCTGAGCTCAGCACTATCTTTTGGAATGACCGTAGAGAGTTCTAGATCAGGACTCCACACTGGCTCAATATTCTGAGAAAGGAAGGGGAGAGGTCCGGTTACTCTGCTTGAGTTCAGCCACACCCATTGTAACTGAATGTACTGTCCTTAAATGCTGAGACCTGTGCTCCTGGTGGGCTTGGAAACAGACTCCTGGCTTCCTTTAGCTGGGAGGAGAGCTCAGTAATAGAGCAGCGCCAGCACATGTGAGGTCCTGGGTCCCACCCCCAGCACCCCAAAAACAAAAGCTCATAATTATTTGGATATGTGCAGGGGCCTATTTAGTTAGTGTGTACAAATTGCAGATTTAGCTGGGCGCTGGTGGCATATACCTGTAATCCCAGCATTCGGGAGGCAGAGGCAGGAGGATCTGAGTTCGAGGCCAGCCGGGTCTACAGAGTAAGTTCTAGGATGACCAGGGCTACGAAGAGAAACCCTGACTCAATAAACAAAAAACAAACAACAATAACAAAAACCCCTACGGATTTGCTAGCCATGTAGTGATGGACAGATATAAAGGGCAGAACTAAAGGTTTTATTTGTAAACATGTCGGCTTATGAATGTCACTTGGTTTTATGATTTAAAACATGCCTGCCATTCCAAGTCTTCACCCACCGTTACAGTAGGCTCACAGATCTTGAAGTTGAGTTTAGCTTCATACACAGGTGACAAGCTCTTTTCTGCTGCTTTTGCTTCCCTGGCTGTTGACAGTTCCTGAATGTGAAGAGCTTAGGCAGGTAACTTACCCTGAAAGGACAGAGCCAGTTCATGAGAGCAGCTGCAGTGTTAGTGCCAAAAGGCCTATAGTTAGGGTCAGGGACAGAAAACTCCCAGGTGGGAAGCTCAGATGCAGCCATAGCAGCCTTCCCCCAAGTACTTGAGGGTTGTGTAGACATGACCTCATCACATAGCTTAACCATGAGGTAGGAAAGGTGAGGTGTTACCACCAGGCTCCAGGTGAGCTGGAAAGTGTTTCATGTCTGAGCTGTGCTGCCGTCTCCCCTGGCAGTTCCACAGTGAACGCTGGGCCTTCTGTCAAGCAGAGCTCTGTCTCATGGACTCCCCACCCCTTTCCCAGCCTGCTTCTTGAGCTCTTGCTTCTCCCCTCCTCTCCGTGTAGTGGCACCTGGCAGCTCTATGTAGGCTCATCCCTGCTTCCTTTGGCCCTGCCGTCTCGCTAAATCCCAGGTCTGGCCAAGAGCATTACAGTGAGTCCAGCTACTTTTCTTCTTCGTCGTACCACTCAGCTGTCAAACAGCCAGGAACAGAGAACATGGTTTAATGATAGATGCTCACACGGTTAGTATTCGGTGCTCGGTTTGTTCTAGGCACCATGTGAAGTGGGTGGATGAAGCTGAGAGTGATGTGGACTTTTAGACTCTGCCAGATTTCTCAGTCTCTTATTTTTTTCTGGTTTTTCAAGACAGTTTCTCTGTGTAACCTTAGCCTATGTAGCTAGCCTTGGCTGCCCTGAAACTCATTCTGTAGACCAGGCTGGTCTTGAACTCACAGAGATCTGTCTGCCTCTGCCTCCCGAGTGCCAGGATCAAAGATGAGCACCACCATGTCCAACTGGTTTCTCCCGGTCTTAAAGAATTAGGCTGGGATAAATGATAAATGACCAGGTGCCATCAAGCCTGGCCAGGAACAGTGAGGAGCGTGCTCTGTCCCCACAGGATTTCTCTGTTCCATAGTCGGACTGCCTACTGCATGTTCCATGCATGTTCCATGCATGTGTGTGTATGTGTCCCTGTATATTCTCACCAATCCTGCCCCCCTTTCAGGGCCTTCTCCCACATTTCCCTTTTACCATGCTTGGTACTCTGCCACAGCCCCCAAAGCCTCCGCTGCTTCCTTTGCCTGCTGAGCTGTCTTCCTAGTCCGTGCTGCTTTTGCTGTGCCCCCTTCTGCTTCCTTGTTCTCTCCCCGGAGCCTGAAGTGCTGCCCTTCACTGCCCCCCCCCCCAAACCCCACTTCATCTTCAGCTGTGTGGGACGTGTTTGAAAGTTCCCTTGGTGTTGCAAATAGGCAAAGCCAGAGATGGCCCAACCCTAGATGGGGGTTCCCTGTCACAACACATGCCCCTGGTGTTGCCACCACCATCCTGGCATGCCTCACCCACAGCTCCTTCCTGTCTAATCTATCAGCCCTGAAGTCACTTTCTGCACTTGGACTCTCCACCTTCTCCAAATACATTTGCACTTGAAAGAATCTCTGCATCTACCCATGTCTTACCTTTGGATAGAAGGGAGCCATCTCCTCAACTCCTGGCTACTTCACCAGCCCTCTCCTGTTACCTGCTCATTCTACAAACACGTTTAAGGGCATGTCCTGTGGGGACAGAGCTCGAAGGGCTTCACAAACACTGCCTTGGGTAACTCCTTAACTGCTACGGATAGCAGAGGACCTTGTCAGCAGGAGGTAAGCATCTCGAAAGTGACTTGAGCGGTTTCTCGCTGCACCCACTGCATTCCCACTGATCACATAGATGAGCTGCGGCAAGGCTGGTTTCCTACTGCCATGCTTCTTCTTTAAGGTAAACTTGTCTGTTTGAGGTTCATTCTGGATCAGCCAGTCCAGTCACTACAGTTCTGTAAAGAGCCTGAGTCTCTTTCAGATCCACCATCAGAGACCCTGCACAGTCTTGACACAAGCTCTTATGGTCTGCAGTGTGCTCTGTGCAGATGATTGCAACCACTTGGGTTGCTCCAGGTGGTCTGCAGCACAGGACAGGGCCCAGCAGCCCCACAGAGGAGGCTCTGTGTTAGTGAAGGTGATAATGACGCTGGTGACATCCCTTGCTTCCTTCCCAGGAGATGGCTGGCAGAGCACTCAAGCAGACAGGCAGTAGGAGTATTGAAGCCGCCTTGGAGTACATCAGTAAGATGGGCTACTTGGACCCCAGGAATGAGCAGATTGTTCGAGTCATCAAGCAGACCTCCCCAGGTGAGGCTGGCTGTGTAGTAGGAAATGATTCGTGGTCTGAGAGCAGGAAGTCCTGGCCAGAGAAACCAGACCTAGTCAATCCTGAAATTTAACCTAGGCTCACCTGACCCCCTGACCGCCTTTACAGCAGCCTGTGTTACTGTCTAAAGAGTTGATGTCTGCTGAAGTCTTCCATCTTTCAGGGGGAAAAAAAAAATCTTTTATTGGGCCTAGGGCGAGTCTCTGAAAAGAGAGGCACATCAGCTCTAAACACCACACTTTTTTTCACATTTAATAGCAGGCAGCTCTCAGGGCCTGCAGCTGTGAGGCAGTGTGTCAGCTCTGGAGGGTCTGGTCTGCCGCTCTGCTTCCCTGGCTGTTTCTTTGTTTGTTGTGGGTTTCTTTGTTTGTTTGTTTGTTTGTTTTGTTTTCCCCTCCCCCCCTCCCCCCAGAGAGACAAGGTTTCTCTGTGTAGCCTTGGCTGTCCTGGATTCATTTGGTAGACCAGGCTGGCCTTGAACTCACAGAGCTCTGCCTGCCTCTACCTACCCGAGTGTTGGATTACAGACATGCACCACCTCGTCCGGCTTTTCCCTGGTTGTTTTTGATGTTCCTGTCCAGAGATGGAGTAGGTGGCCTATGGTTTCTGGGGTATGATAAAGGATTTATGTGATCTCTGTTGGGTAGAAGAGATGAATGAGGACATGGCAAGGGCTTTCAAACTATTTGTTGTTAGGGGATATACAGTTGAGGTTTCTTGAGAAAAGACATTTCCTTCAGCAGATCCTAGCTGGCCATTGTTCTTGGAGTTCTGGAGTGTGTCCTGAGGAATGGTGGTGCGGGGCAGTAGGCCCAGCTCTGTAACTACTGCCTTCCTACTTGGCCTTGGTGTGTGTGTTAGTGGTATTTGCTGAGCCCAGGCAACGCGAAGCCTCTCATCTCCTGTAACTCCTGTTCTGTGCCAAGGCTGCTGGGCATTTCTATCAGGTGTGTGTATTAGGGGGTGAGGTGGGGCGGGACTTAGGCCTACAAGTGGATAAGACTTTGGACTTCAGGGTCTTCTGCCAGATCAAGCAGAGGAGTCCATGTAGGAAGCGAGAGGGCCTTCGTCCTTTCCAGGCATCTACTCTAAATGAGGAGAGATTTTTCAAAATGGAGATGTCAGGGATAAGGAAGCTGCAATAGCCATCTGTGTGTCTGGGTATTGGTAGAAAGAGGGATTCTTTGTAAGATGTTTAAAGAATTTTTTTTTTTTTTTTTTTTTTTTTTTTTTTATGAAGGGTACACTTGATTGCAGTATTTTGCAGGGGCAGAATTTCCCTAGATCTGGAGTCACAGGCAGTTTGGGAGCTGCCTTGACGTGGGTGCTGGGAACCAGATCTGGTCCACTGCAATCTTAATTTACTGAGCCATTTCTCCATCTCCTCTTCATGCTTTTGTTCCTAGTTAATGATGAGGTACATATCCCCTTGTTTGTCCTTAAAAAAGACAGAAACCCAGCAAATTTTAAATTTGGAAATAGGTGAAAGAAAAGTGAATATTTGGACAGCGTGTGTGAGTCTGCCCTTTGTTAGGGAAAAGTAGACTTAACCATGACAGTTATTTGGTTTCTCCCAAATAACTGCATGTCATGGAGAAAACACTGTTGGCTGTCTTGTTAGTTAGTTCCCTAGCATGGCAGGAGACTGACCTCGGGTGCTGTGTCTCCTAAGGCACTGTACTCTCTCTGGCCCACATCCCAACCATTAGCTCTTGGCCTTCAGCCCCACCATCCGTTTTCCCCCTACTTTGCATGGATGACCAGTTACTGCTGGGGCAGGATGAGCCCTGTTGGCCCTCCTACATGTGCCCAAACCCAAATTTAAGGCTAGTGTGAAGACGGGCCTACAAGTAGCAGCCCACTATGTGTGCTTAAGCTGACTTCTCGTTCTTTCCTCTTTAGGAAAGGGCCCGGTGCCCGCTCCGGTGAGGCGGCGGCCCAGCTTTGAGGGTGCAGGGGAAGCATTCCCACCCTGCCACCAGTTGGGCGGTGCAAGCTATGAGGGTCCCTGCCCGCTGGAGGAGATGCCACGGCAATATTTGGACTTCCTCTTCCCCGGGGTCAGTGCCCCTGCTCACCAGCATCCTCCCAAAGGCTATAGCGCAGCAGTGGAGGCGGGTGCACACTTCCCGGGCACACACTATGGCCGTGCTCACCTGCTCCCGGAGCAGCCTGGGTATGGGGTGCAGCGCAGCCCCTCCTTCCAGAGCAAGACACCACCAGATGCCTATTCCGGCATGGCCAAGACACAGGGTGGCCCTCCCGCCAGCCTCGCCTTCCCTGCCCATGCTGGGCTGTACACCTCGCACCACAAGCCGGCAGCCGCTGCGCCCACAGCCCACCCGATGCATGTGTTGGGTGCCCGGGGTCCTGCGTTCGCTGGCGATAGCCCTACACAGGCAGTGCTGGCACCATCCAGGAACAGCCTCAATGCTGACTTGTATGAGCTGGGCTCTCCGGTGCCCTGGTCCGCGGCCCCGCTGTCTCGCCGTGATTCACTGCAGAAGCAGGGTCTGGAGGCCTCCCGGCAGCATGCCGCCTACCGGGCCAGCCCCAGCAGGACCAACTCCTTCAGCAGCCCACAGCCCGAGCCCTCGCTACCCGCCCCCAACACGGTCACCACAGTGACCGCAGCGCACATCCTGCACCCTGTGAAGAGTGTGCGTGTACTACGGCCCGAGCCCCAGACAGCTGTAGGGCCCTCGCACCCCGCCTGGGTGCCCGCACCCACAGCACCTGCCACGGAGGGCCCAGAGACCAAGGAGGGCAGTGCAGGCCAGCACTCGCTGGAGGTGGACTACGGTGGCTCTGAGCGCAGGTGCCCACCACCCCCTTACCCCAAACACCTGCTGCTGCCCAGCAAGGCCGAGCAGTACAACCTGGACCTGGACAGCCTGTGCACCGGTGTGGAGCAGACCCTGCGCAGCGGCGCCGAGCAAGACAGGAATGACAAGAGCCACAAGGGTGCCAAGGGGGACAAAGCTGGCAGGGACAAAAAGCAGATCCAGACCTCCCCCGTGCCAGTGCGCAAGAACAGCAAGGATGAAGAGAAGAGAGAGTCTCGCATCAAGAGCTACTCCCCGTATGCCTTCAAGTTCTTCATGGAGCAGCATGTGGAGAATGTCATCAAGACCTATCAGCAGAAGGTCAGCCGGAGGCTGCAGCTGGAGCAGGAAATGGCCAAAGTAATGTCTCACTTCCGTCTTCCTCTGTTCCCGCGCCCCTCTGTAGCAGCTGTGCACCTTCATCACACGCCCAGCTCCTAGACCTGGCAAAAGGACACACACTGGGAGAGGCCACAGAGAGTGGTCTCCCCCTCCTCCTCCCAACCTCAGAAGAATCTGAGGACCCTGGCTAGCAAGTAAATCAGCAAAGTGATTACTGTAGTGTGTCCTTCCTCTTGAAGAAAGCACATCTAGGATTACCTGCTATTAACATTTGACAAGGATGAAAAAACTTTCCCAAGTTAGGTGCTTTAGAGAAACCTACAGTATCATTGGTCTGTTAATCCAAATTAATAAACAGTGTTTTTGGTTTGCTTCTTTGAGACAGTGTCTCATCTGCAGCCAAGAATGAACTGGGTCTCTCAGGGCTGCCCCAGCTTCAAGTGCTGGAGCTTATGGGCATGTTTCCAGCACCAAGCTCGGGGTAGTTGTTCTTGTTCTCTCTCTCGCCTCTGCGCTCTCTCTCTCTCTCTCTCTCTCTTTCTCTTTCTCTCTGTGTTTTAGATTTTTTTTCATGTGTGTGAGTATTTTCCCTACATGTGTGTCTGTATACTACGCTTGTTCCTGTAAAGTCCAGAAGAGGGTACTGGATCCCTGGAACTGGAGCCATAGGCAGTTGTGACCATGTGGTGCGGGGGACTAAATCGGGTCCTCTGGAAGAGCGGCCAGTGCTCCTAACCAAAGAGCAACCTCTGCAGCCCAGTAAATGTTTTAAACATTCTAAATTGACACTGTAACGTACTAGAGAAGGTAACTTTTATGACATTACTTTAAATTTAAACGTGACAGTAAATTTATATCACATAGATTAGTCATTTCAAATTCTAAAATGTAAGTTTGTGTCTCCGTTTTTGTTGATCCAGCATCACTGATTGTTTTGTTTCCCTATTTTCTTTGAACTACTGAAATCCTAACTAGATTATAGATTCCAGGAATGTTTTCCACAGGATTTTTTTTATTTTTTATTTTTTTATTTATTTATTTTTTTTGTAGTGTTGGTAGTTTTCCTTGGTTTTCCCCCAGAGAAGGAATTTTGTTTTGATGTCATATTTTCATGAATGTGATGACTGTTGTGTATAGAGACAGATGTCTACCTCCACATATAAAGATCAAGGCTGGCTGGCAGCTCTCCTGTAGTCTGGCAGGCCTAGTGTCTATTCTTTCTGAAGAGTCCTTGAAGCTTCAAGGCAGCCCTGCTCCACCCCCTCACACTTGGCTGCTGTGGGTGCATATGACATGACTGTCTGATTTTCCTTCTGTGCAGGCTGGACTCTGTGAGGCCGAGCAGGAGCAGATGAGAAAGATCCTCTACCAGAAGGAGTCTAACTACAACAGACTGAAGAGGGCCAAGATGGACAAGTCCATGTTTGTGAAAATCAAAACTCTGGGCATTGGTGCCTTTGGAGAAGTATGCCTTGCCTGTAAGGTGGACACTCATGCCCTCTATGCTATGAAGACTCTGAGGAAGAAAGACGTCCTGAACCGGAATCAAGTGGCCCATGTCAAGGCTGAGAGAGACATCCTGGCCGAGGCAGACAATGAGTGGGTGGTCAAGCTCTACTACTCCTTCCAGGACAAGGACAGCCTGTACTTTGTGATGGACTACATACCTGGCGGGGATATGATGAGCCTGCTGATCCGCATGGAAGTCTTCCCTGAGCACCTGGCCCGCTTCTACATTGCAGAGTTGACTCTGGCCATTGAGAGTGTCCACAAGATGGGCTTCATCCACAGGGATATCAAGCCTGACAACATCTTGATTGACTTGGACGGTCACATTAAGCTGACAGATTTTGGCCTGTGCACTGGATTCAGGTGGACTCACAACTCCAAATACTACCAGAAAGGTACTGCTTTCCTGCTCCCGTGTACACCTCCCACGCCCACGTGGTGGGTAGCTGCTCCAGGCAGCTGCATGGCCCTCCTGGCACCTACCCATTTCAGAATCATCTGTTGCGGTGTAATTTGGTGTGGCGTACTCTCCTTTAGAGAGGAGCAGTATGATGTGTGAGGGTGTTTTCTTTGTTAGTGGGCTTTCTTACTATCTTTTTTGACCACTAAAGGCTTTGGTAAAGGATCATCACACTGCCCTATTAAAAGGAGCCTTGGAAAATAAATCTCCAGGCTCCTGGAGTAGTTGCCCAGTGAAAGATCTGACTGGCATGTAGAAAGCCCTGGGTTTGTCAGTGGGAGAGAAGTTTGTGCTGAGGTGAATTGATGGACTTGCTGCAATGTTGACTATCAAAATTCATGCTCTTTTCTATCACTTCACCTTTTCCTGGAAAAGGGAACCACATCAGACAGGACAGCATGGAGCCTGGTGACCTCTGGGATGACGTTTCCAACTGTCGTTGTGGAGACAGATTAAAGACCCTGGAGCAGAGAGCCCAGAAGCAGCACCAGAGGTGTCTGGCGCATTCTCTAGTTGGGACACCAAATTACATTGCGCCTGAGGTGCTTCTCCGCAAAGGTATGGCAGCCCACTGCCCTCCTCAGCTCCTAGCCTGCTCCCTCCTCCCAGCCTGCTCTCTCCTCAGCTCCCAGCCTGCTCTCTCCTCAGCTCCTAGCCTGCTCCCTCCTCAGCTCACCACCTGACTTTGTAATTCATCGAGCATTTGTTTGTGCATAGAGAAGCCTGAGCATTTGATGGTTTCCCTAGCAACAAGGCTCCATCATCTTCTCTACGTTCTGGAATGGTCTTTGCTTCACCATGATTAAGCCAGTATTTCCTCACGAGGAGTGTGGGTTGTGGGCTTTCTACCTCAGCTCCAACCTAGAAACTCTCCAACTAACTGGCTTTTTCAGTGTCAGCTAGGAGTTGGGGAGATGGTGATGGTTAACTGGTTAAGAGCACTGTGTGCTCTTCCAGAAGAAACAGGTTCAATTCCCAGCATCTACATGGTAGCTCAAAACTATCTAACTCCAGTTCCATACAGTGCCCTCTTCTGGCTTACACAGGCACTGCATGCACTTGGTAGCCACACAAAAATGCAGGTAAAACACCCATACCCATACAAATAAATTAATTAACATAAACAAATACAGAGTCAGCTGATGAAACTGTTTGGGGCTCTAGGGCCACTGCCCTCCGTAGCCCATTTCCGCACTCTAGCTTACCTCTCCTTTGTCCAGGCGGGGCTATTCCATGTGTGGCACACAAATTCTCCCAGTTAGGCCCAAAATTTCTAGGAGGTGATATTACCTCCTAGGTAAATTCCTATGAGGTAAAAACCTTAATAGGCATCAGGTTACTACTTGTTGGTGAACTTGGTTTTCTAGATGGCCTGGAAAAGTGTCTGCTTCAGAACTGGAGGATCGTGGCGTGGGCCTTTGTGGTTTGTAGTGATAGTGAGCTGTCAGCTTGACCTTGTGGTTAATCCAGACACAGTCTTTTTGTTCACATTGTCCAACCAGTTCAGGATGAGGTTTTCCGTTTCATGTACATGAAGGTGTCACCTTGCAAGTGCTAATTCTGGTGCCCAGAGAGGTCCCACACCACAGCCATGAGTGCTGATCTGTAGGAACCGTGGGCTGGGGTTCTTCTGCAGCCACCAGTGTGGGGGCTGATGACGAAACAAAGGTAGCGTCCAAAGCCTGAGCCAGCTCCTCCTGTTCCAGAGCTTCCTAGCAAGTGGCTGAGAGTGGTGCCCTGAGGGACAGTTGGAGGGCATCAGAGATAAAGGCACCTGTTCCACAGCCTCTATAGGCAGTTCTGGGAGGACGCCTGCTGAGCTGCTCAGTTGTCCACTGCCACGGTGGCCACCTGCTTTTTTTGTTTATTTTTGTTTTTGAGACATAGCCTCCATGTTCTTCAGCATCATTTTAAACAGATTCATAAACTTCCCCGGGAAGCCATCCTGCTTTCTGCACCTGCCACATACCCAGTAGGTAAAGCACTGCCAAGCCTGAGTTCAATCCCTGGCTCCCACATGGAGAAAGGAGGAAACTGAATCCCCCAAGTTGTCCTCTGACCTCCAAACATATGCCATACCACACACAACTACTCAAAGTTCTAAAAAAACCACATTAATTACTTAGCCTTGCCTTCTTGCTATAAAAGCATTCTGTGTTTATGAAGACCAGTGATTAAAAAGAAAATCCAAAATCCTAGTATCCGTGGCCGCATGATACCTGTTAGCACCTTTATGTGAGCCCATGGAGCTGCCAGTCTGAGGCCCCGCCTCAGGACATGTATTTATGTGGTCTCTCCCTTTAGTGCAGTGTTAGCTCTGAGCCCTCTCACGCATCACAGTCAGCCTGGATGCTCAGGACCTGAGGAGTCTGTACGGTGGGACTGAGGCAGTACTGTTTTTCAGGGTACACACAGCTCTGTGACTGGTGGAGTGTCGGTGTGATTCTTTTTGAGATGCTGGTTGGGCAACCACCTTTCTTGGCACCTACTCCTACAGAAACCCAGCTGAAGGTAAGCAAAGGAGTATGTGTTCATATGGTGCAGAGCACTGTGCCTCTGCAGAGCCCTTGGTTGGCTTTGGGTAGACTAGAAATGGCAGTTATTCATAGTGGGGGTTTCCAAAAAAAGGTTCTCTTATTTCTACTCTACATTTGAATTTTTGATAACAAAACAACAGAGCTAGACCTGAGTTTTAATGTGTTTGTAGACCTGTACTTTTATTTAAGCTGTTGATAGCTGTCTGCCCTCTGTTGTTTCCCTGCAAGAATGACACACAGATGTCAGTGGCGGCCATGAGTCAGCTCCCTGACTGGCCTGCCCTGCAGAGAACACACAGCTCTGCGGCTTGAGAAGCCTCACCGAGGCTGTAATTACCAGAGAGGTGGTCGGCTACTTGTGTGTGTTCCAGTACGCTCTGGAAATCATTGAATCTCTCAGTCATGGAGTGATTCATTTAGATTCACGGCCACTTGCTTTCTGATCTGTTAACTCTTCCTGGTTCAGCTGAAAGGCTGAGCTTGTTAGTTAGTGGATTTACAGAAGCACACTTCTAGGGACGTTTCTCTTTTTAATGTCCAGATCAGTCCATGGCGGAGCAAAAGAACTTTGGATCAGCCGGGCATGGTGGCACATACCTTTAATCCCAGCACTTGGGAGGCAGAGGTAGGCAGTCTACAGAGTGAGTTCTAGGGCTATACAGAGAAACTCTCTCAGGAAAAAAAGAAAAGAAACTTTGAATTAAAACACAATTGTTTTTCCATGTTTTGCTTACTAGTTGAATTGCTGAACTAATTTGCCTACAGGATAGTAAGCCAGATTCTTTTATTATTGTGGTAAAATAGATATGACATGAAATTTACGTTCAGCTATTTAGAAGTGTATGGTTTGTTGGCCTAAGTGTGTTCACACAGGACTGTACAGACCATTTCTGATGTTTTCATCTCACATAGAAACTTTGTACCCATTAAATAACTGTTCCCATCCCCTTTCCCCAGCCACTTACAACCTGTGTCTCAGGATTTGCTAGGTGCCTCATAAATGAGGAACTGTACACTCATTTATCTTAACTGCCTTCTTTCACTTAGCATAATATCCCCAAGATCCTCAAGGTTCATCCCTGTGTGCGTGTGCGTGTGCGTGTGTGTGTGTGTGTGTGTGTGTTTCTTTGCTCTTTTTTTATTTTTTTGAGACAGGGTTTCTCTGTAGCCCTGGCTGTCCTAGACTCGCTTTGTAGACAAGACTGGCTTCGAACTCCTCTCTGCCTCTTGATCCAGCTGCCTCTGCCTCCCCAAGTGCTGGGATTACAGGAGTGCCCTACTGATTACAGGAGTGCCCAGCTAATTTCCTTCCTCCTAAGACTGAATTGCAGTCCTTTACATAAGTGCCCATGGTTTGATCATCCGTTCATCAGGAGTCTGGATGGCCCCTGCCCCTTGGCTCCTGTGAGTAGTGCTGTTGTGCACACGGGTGCACAGCCCTCGCCATCATTCTGGATTTATACCCAGAAAAGGATTTCTGTTTCCCTCTTAGAACTGCCAAACTATTAAAAACAACCACACTATTTTATATTTATGTATTCACTCAGTCCTCCTGTTTTGTTTTGTTTGTTTTGTTTCTGAGGCTGTCTCACCATATATAACCCAGTCTAGCTTCAAACTTGAGACATCCTGCTGTCTTAGTGTCCTCAATTCGGAGATTACACATTTGAACCACCGTGATTGGTAGCATCTGTTTTACGTTCACTCCGATAGTGTGCCCAAGCTGTTTTATCCCCATCCTTGCTACCACTCAGTGGTGTCCATCTGCCTTGGCCTCCTGAGTGCTGGGATGGCAGACATGCCACACCAAGGCCAGCCTCCTATTTCGAATAGCCTCACTCTTCGTTAGTGAGCTCGTAGATGCGTATCCCCAGCTGTCCTGGAGCTCACCGTAGACCAGACTGGCCTTGAGCTTGCTGCTGGCCGGCCCTGTCTGAAGTGCCGAATCACTGGGTGTATACCGCCACACACAGCACAGAAGTTTGTCATTTTCATCAAGTGCAGCGTACTCTCTTTCCCGGTGGTGTCTCAGTATCCAAGAAGACCTCGATGACGATTTATAGTTGTAGCCCTTCTAAAACACTGTGTAGACCCCCTCTCCACACAGCAGTCAGTTACACTGTCTACTTCCACTCTGGGCCTGAACCATGCCAGACGGTCAGGTTTTTCTTCACAGTATACACAGCTTCATGACAGATAAATTTAATGACCACCCAGATGAGGACCAAGCCAACGGGGGCCAGTTACCTCAAAGAAAAAAATTCCAGAGACCAGCCGCCAACCTCAGTAAATACCACGTGAGGACTGTGGTGGCGCAACGAAAACCCATTTTCTTAGCTGAAGTGTGAGAGGCCCAAACACCCTTGCCGTCTGGGGCCGCAGCTCTGCAGGCTCAGGACCTGGGTTGAAGAGGCGCTAACCCAGCTCTGCTGCCCACAGGTTATCAACTGGGAGAACACGCTGCATATCCCCACGCAGGTCAAGCTGAGCGTCGAGGCCCGCGACCTCATCACCAAGCTGTGCTGCGCAGCCGACTGCCGCCTGGGCAGGAACGGGGCAGACGACCTCAAGGCGCACCCATTCTTCAGCGCCATCGACTTCTCCCGAGACATCCGGAAGCAGCCCGCGCCCTATGTCCCCACCGTCAGCCACCCCATGGACACCTCCAATTTTGACCCGGTGGATGAAGAAAGCCCCTGGCACGAGGCCAGTGGAGAGAGTGCCAAGGCATGGGACACGCTGGCATCCCCCAACAGCAAGCACCCAGAGCATGCCTTCTACGAGTTCACCTTCCGCAGGTTCTTTGATGACAACGGCTACCCTTTCCGGTGCCCAAAGCCGTCAGAGCCGGCCGACAGTGCAGGCCCGGGGGCTGCGGAGCTGGGGGCTGCGGCTGAGGGCTGCCAGCCCGTGTATGTGTAAACAGCCGTGGCCTCAGTTATCACATCGAGGAACTCTCGTCTTTCTAAAAAAAAAAAACAAAAAACAAAAACAAAACAGTTTTTTTTTTTTTTTTAAGACAAACTCACGTTTAGAAATTGTTCATTTCTAGTTCTGGTTTAATGGGCAACAGGGAGGGTCACCATGACTTCGGATTGGCCCTTTGAGGACCTTCACTGCATTAAAACGATATCTTTAAAAATTTAGTACTATATGGAAAGAGCACTTATTTTATGGATACCCATTTTTTCTTACTAAATTATAAGGATTAACTTTGACAAGTCATGCTGCTGTTACTTCCAGTTGTGGTTATCTGATAGCACTTGTCCACATTTAGAGAAGAAGTAAGAACTGAAGAACATGTGATAAGACATCTGTGCAATAAGTGAGCGAGTGAGACCGAGCTCTGCTCCGCGTCACGAAGGTGGTTTATCTCCACAGTGGCTTTGCTTTGTATCTTCCCACATTTCAGAATTGTCATGTAATGTTTAAAAGCTGCTTTTGTGGTTTTTCCCTTTGCATATCATAGTTACTAGAAAGAGTGAGCAAAGAGATGGTGGTGTGATTCCCGCGTCTGAGGTGTGGAAAGTGCTGCATGAGCAGAGTTTTCTACTATAAAATTACCATATCTTGCCATTCACAGCAGGTCCTGTGAATACGTTTTTAAATGAGGTATTCTAGACAGTGTGCCGATATGTATTGTGTGGGTGATGAGTGTAGCTTTATTGCTAAAGAAATACATATGTGTAACTGAAGTGTGAATTTTTTTTTTTTTTTTTTTTTTTTTTTACTGTGTGTGTTTTGGATATGACTGGGTTCTTTGGTAGGCAAATGTAAACATTTGTCATATATAAAACACATCAAAAGGGATTAAGTCAGCTATGCCAAAACATTGAACATAGTCGTAGCGCTGTCCATTTCTCTAGACCAGTGTGCTGTCAGTCTTGGTATGTGGAGAGCTGTAGCTGGGACCCTACTACTTAACCTTTTCAAAACAGGGTTCCCACAAAAGGTGAGGTGAGCATTGTGCTTCCTGCTAGTCAGCCAAGATGTCACCATGGAGCTCCACCTGATGTTTCTGTCACACCTTGAGGTGTCAAATCTTAATACAACTTAAGCAATACGTTTTTTCAACTTTGTACAAAGAAAGATTTTCTTCCAAGTGACATTGGACTACAAAAACAAGCCATACAGTTTTTTCTTAGACATATAGGTGTATATATAAGTATAGGAAAACACACAAAATATTTCTTATTTCAATTAGTAATGGTTCCTACTTAAAGTGATTTATATTTGAGTACATGCAGGTTTTTTTGCTTTTTAAAAGATGGAATGCAGCACATTTTCATTATACTATTCCACATATTTTCCTTAAGGTTCTAAGCATAATGTATCCGTTACTTAGGATGTATCTAGGCAGAAACACTTACAAATTTATGTCTAAGAAACATTCCGGTGTCCTGGTTTACATTTGTATGGATGGCATATTCTGGCGTCTGCTGCGCTTGTATCGTGACTTACAGT